AAAAGTAGATCATAAGCAAATTTATAGTAATTTTCCAGGCAAATTTGCCTGGAATTGCTCTACAGTTTAAGGGATAGGATCACTATCATTTTTCTTCATAATTAACAAATTATAGGACGCCCAGAACAACAACTATTATTATATTGACAAGAAATATTTAAGAACGAAAGATATTTGCTACATAAATAAATAAATAAATAAAATTAGTAAGCAATATTTAAAATTTTAAAAGTTATATAAAAAATATTACATACGCATATGTTTGAGCCTCTATAGAGGTTTGTAATTCATTAAGTTGATTTATCATAAAGAAATCTTTGTCTTCATCAACTTCACAATGTGATAAATTTTTAATTTCATTTTTAGTATATTCACAAATTTTAACACCAGTACATTTGCGAACAACTTTTTTAACATAACAATTTAGATAAGGACAATTAATTTTATTAGAACCTCCTCCACCTTCCATCGAATATTGAATCTAAGAAAAAACTAATATTAATAATTAATTATTTTAATCGATTAATTACAAAAAAATATATATTTACATTATTAAATAGTGCATTACAATCGGATGGATTTATATTAAAAATATAGACAACTCTTTCGTTAGATGTTGCTGGATATTCAATTGGAATAGCTGAAAACCAGGTATCTCTAATGGCAAGTTCTTCTGTAGAATAATTAATTATTGGTGTTTCAGAAGACTTCTCATTATCGGTGATATTTTTTATCAATTGTAAATCTTCATCCACATTTTAAATATAAATTTAATCCAGTTAAATTTGTAATTAACTAAAAAAAGCTTTGTGCTACATGTAATTTATGACCAAGATTTCAACGTTTACATTAATTCCCAAATCGTCTAGTTCAATAATCGGGAAGTCACTTTCTCCTTCTGAAGGAGAATCAATCGTTAGATCAACTACTCCTTCACAAAAACTTGTGCTTAAACCTTCTTTTTTAATATTATTCATGAAATAGTAAAAGAGTTTTGTCATTTATGTAATTAAAAAAAAGTATAATTTGTATTTAATATGGATTATATACATTCATACGTATGTATGTATTGTGAGCCCTGGAAACCAACCCAAATTGCTGCGGCCCAAGCATGATTTAAGATCACAGGGATAAGTGCAATTTATTGCATTTATGGAATTTATGAAATTTATAGAATATATTACATTTATTACATTTATTACACTGATGGGATTTATGGAATTTATTGCATTTATTACATTTATTACATTTATGGAATATATTATATTTATTGCACTGATTGTAACACCGAAGATTTATTATAAATAAAGGCCGTGAAGGCCCTGAGAACAATAAGTTCCGTTTGCTTACAATTAT